TCATGCTTTGGTAGTTATAACTAATCACTTGGTTACCAGACTAAATACGTCCGGTTCTTTCACCAATACTCATACATCAAAAAGCAGCCTGCAGTTTTTCTCTTCACCAGCAGTAGTACTCTAAAGCTCAGAATCAAAGTTTTCAGAAAAAAGAGAATTTCTGAATTAAAGTCCGAATTAAAGGCCAATCTCAGCCATTAATCATTCAAATTCACACGAGAACGTGGCTGTGAATGTCATGAAGATGATATTGGATAATGTATGATATTATCACTTTTGTTGACTCATGGCGACTGCTTGAACAAGCCCACAAAGTTTTCTTGGCCAGAATTTTTTGGGGCAAATGGCTTTCCCTTACCTTCTGCCTAAGACCAAAAGAAAGGAACTGGCCCAAAATCACCGAGTTGGCTTTGTGCCCAAGGCAGTGCTGGGACTCCTGGGTTCCTCTGGGTTTCTAGCTTTAGCCTTTAACTCTACAGCAAACTGGCTCTTTCCCAACAGTCGCTTCCCCTTGTGGAACAGCTGGCTTACTTTCTGGACAGGCGAAGTAACTGTGGAAAGACCAGAGGGTGGAATAAATGATACCACAAAGAAATAGCTACTACTATATTATCCAATATTCCTGGCATTTTAATAGCATTTTACTATTCAGTAGACAAGTGAATTCAAAGTAGAAAAATCCACATTGGGCAAGTTAGCTTGACTGAGGTTTCCCTTTTGTTGTGTTTTGCAGGNCAGTCAGCTGAAGTGGCCTGCAGTACTGCACCCTAACCACTGCGCCACCTCGGCTCTTCGAAAAGGGACATATTCATAGCAGGAGAAAGAGAAACAGATGGAGTTAAAGTCAATGATGTTCTTCAAGCTGAACTTCAATCTTGATGTCTTCATGGACAGGTCCAAGGTGTTTTCTCTGGAAGTGATACAGAATTTGCTTCCCTTTGCCTTTTTCTGGGATGATTTATTTATTTCTCATTCTTGTCTGCAGCCCTGGTGATTTCCCATCCAAAGACTAACCAGATCCAACCCTGCTTAACCTTATAAGTCAACTAAGTTTATTTATGTGCTGCCATCTGCTGGATCTTTTTTTTTTTTTAAGAGTCAAGCTCAACTCTTGGTGATCACATCTGGTTGTATTCTGGACAACAGTATGGAGATAACATCTTCTTCCAGGGTGTTGCTTTCAACTTCCCAGTCTAATCCATAGGGCCGGGATTCCCTGATAGTCTCTAATCTACTGGCTAATCAGGTTGAAACCTGCTTCTTCGAAGTCTGTGAAAGTTTCTGGGTGCTTCCTATCGGCTGTGATACGTCACATAAAGGAAAAATCAAATCGGATTTGTTTGGGGGTTTTGGCAATTGCTTATAAAGTTCTGGGGCGGTATGTGTGGATGGCTCATTTGTTAAAGATGCTGAGATTGTCAGACAGTCTGTGTTTGAGACATGAGCAAATGTGGGTCAACTTTAATTGTTCAGGTATTTAAAGAGTACTTTCCCATGCCAAGAGTTGCAAAGGATATAAAATCTGGCAGGCTTCTTACAGTAAATGGTATAGCTAATGGTCCAGGATGGGTGAATCCTCCAAGTGCTTATTGGCAATTGATGATGTAGGCAAGCACTTTTTCTTTAGGGTCTTAGCCACCATTTTCTCTGCTCCCTCCCCCCCCCCAGACATGAAATCCTCTTAGCGTCACTACTGGTTCGGAATCAGGAGCATGCACGTGTGTGAGCTTGCTTCACTCTCTCTCATGGGGCTTCTGCACATATGCAGAACCTTCTACACATGCACAGAACATTTGTGATGATGTCTGGGAGGGGGGTGTGAGCCTCCCACCCAGTGATGGGTTCCGGATCTCGGTGCAACCAGTACGGTGCAACAGGGCTGGGGGTCCACCACGTGCCCGAGCTCATCATGTGCGCAGTGCGCGNTAGTTATCTCCACAACATTTGTTGTTAAAAAACAAACAAACTCCAGGTTGAAATGCAACCGCTTAACACATGTTTTCCAGTTAGATACAATACGTTCATTCCCCAATCTCCATCAATCTTCTTAAGAAAGTCCAGTTCATTACTCATCAGTTTTGTCAATTATCCGTCTTTCGAATCCATGTCTCTTTCAGCCTTTTACAATAAGCCTGCAGTTTTCAGACCAGGCTCTTTCCCCTTCCAATCTGCCAGTAACAAACTAGATACCAATCCAATGTATTGTTTTTCTGTGCAAAAGTGGAAATAAAAAAATAACACAATGACTATTTCCACCCGTAAAATGTTTGGAAAAACCATGGGAATCCTATTATCAAAATCGATTAATGGCCTAGAGACTGTAAAGTGATCTCCTGAGCCAAGTGGTGTTTTCATTACTCATTACTTCCCATAAGTAATTAAGAGGGGAAAAAGGACTCCTGATTTAAAAATATCTGTTGGTTCGGAGATAAAAGCTGTTATATATTTCAGTCATCTTGGTGTCGTAGTGTACTTGGTTTTACGATGACAAAGAATCTATTATTTCCTTGTAGAATTGTTTGGAAAGCATATGATAATAAATGGAACATAGAATTAATCTATATTCAGTGGCATGCAGAACAGCTAATTTATTTTTATATTGCATCCCCAGTGAATGGAATCATTTGCTTAAAAGACTCTGGATCTGGGTAACATTGCACTGACATACTCCTCCCTAAATTTCCTTAATGGGTTCTCATTAACATGTGAGACATTGCAAGCATTCTCTCTCAACTACAAAATACAAAGCTGCAGACAATCTGTATTCACTATCTGTCTGAGGTGGAATGAAATGAGCTGACAGAGCTGCTCTGCATGTGGGTGTAGCTGAGTAGATTTTTTTTTTTACAAATTTGTTGAATTTCCAAAGAATGAAATATGGATCTTTGTATTTGCATTAATAGGTGTAAATACAACTCTCTCTCTTGGTAAGCGCTCTGAGTATATGATTTGAATCCTCAAGAGGCTGCAACGCACCTCATGAGTGTTTCTGAACATAAGGATCTAAGTACTGATTCTTTAATTCTAAATTTCAAAGTCAGGAATAAGATGGCAGCATGATGCAACTGCACTTTTGAAAAACAGGCAGGTGAATTTTTTTATTTGAAAACTTGGGATTCTATTCCCCAAGGTTCCCTTTACATTTTGATCACTATCGTAGTTTCATTCTAGGGCAAAAAAGAGAGAATATCTCTAGTTTCTCTTATACAGAGGTGATAATAGATGAAATGAAATTCTCAGACCCAAGATTGGTTTGACGGACCCAATGCCATTGGGTTTACTGT